TGGTACTGACTGACTGTTTACACATAATTTATTTTATGTATCTCACTATCCCAAAGGCTTAGACATAATTCAATAAGAGAGATCTAATTAAACCGTTAAAAAAAGAGAAGAGAATTGGCCCAGCAGTTAGGAACATGTGCTGTTCTTGCAGAGGGCCTGAGTTCAATCCCAGCACTCACATGTTGGCTCATAATTGCCTGTAATTCTAGTTCTAGGAGAGTCAAGTCCTCCTCTGGACTCTGAGGCACACACACAAATAAAAAATAAAAGTAGAACATTGAAAGCCATATTCTCAGTAAAGAGAACTAAAAAGATAAAAAGTAGCCTAAAATAATATCAAGTATAATACCAGTATCAAATTGAACACAACTAAAATATCAAAATTGAACACAAATCATAATTCTGAGCATCTTTTCAGTTCACACATACAAAATCAAACCATTGCCTTCACCTGAAAATTCACTCAAGAGGATAATATATTTCTTTCAAAACCATAGATGCACCAATTTCTGAATGTAAATAACAAAGATGCAGTAGTGGAATAATTTTTGAACATGAAGTTCTGTGATACATTCAGTAAAAGATCTTCACAATGATACCTCCTCCCCAAGGTCAATGCAACTAGTACTGATCCCCCAGTGTAAAGGAACACCTTGGAAACTTACCCCTGCAATAAGTTCATACCAGCTGTATACCTGTGGCCAAGACTTGGATTGTCCCTGCGAAAAGGTATCCTCACTTGTTCACATACAAAGAGTAAAAGCCAAGAATTTCACCTGCTGAAATATATTCACTGCAAAACTGTAATTCAATAGACCTTTTGCACATTCATCCTTGAAAGAAATGGGACATCATAACTACTTTAAAGGAAAACCTCAGTTTTGAGGATGGCCCCACAGAGAGTGTGGGCTACGGCGCCCTTTCCACTCTCCTGTCCTCCCCCAACCAAGAAGCCTTTTTCCTACTTCAGAGCAGAATATACTTTGTCTTTTATTGAAAATAGATGTATTTTCAATATCTTCTAATTACAGTTTCCCCTCCCCTTATTCCTCCCAGGTCCCCCCCACTTCCCTTCCACCTGGATTCATAATCTTTCTGTCTCTCATTAGAAAACAAACAGGCATCTAAGGAACAATAATAAAATACAACAGACAAATGAGAATAATATAAAACAACCAAACTAGAAAAGGAACCAAACGAAAACCACATATAGATGCAGATACCCATGTGTTTGCACACACAGGAATCCCATTAAAAAAAAACTGGAAACCATAATATATAGGGTAAGGACCTAAAGCAGAATACTTTTATACACAAGCCTGCTTTGATATGAGGAGATAGCATCTCTTTTTAGTGAACTAAATCATTATGTTACCTTCCTCAGTTTGCTTTAGTTAAATATAGCAAGTGCTTACTGGGAACCTATTGTGTACAGTATTATAAGGGCTGTAGATTTTTAAGCTACTAATGGTCCAATAAACGCCTTAGGGATCTCAGCATTTTAACAATGAGTAGGAATAAAAGTTTCTGCTTTCTGCATAATATCCAATTGTGTCTTTTAAAAGTCAGTATTTTATTTTTATCTGTGAGAATATGTGTGTGCGTGCGTGCGTGTGGGTGTGCACACACCAGTGCAGGTGTCATTGGAAGCCAAACATTTCCGATCCTCCAAAGCTAGAGTTACAGGTAGTTGTGAGCTACCTGATGTGGTTGCTGTGAACTGAATTTGGGTCCTCTGAAAGACCAGAAGATGGTCTTGATGGCTGAGCCACAGTTCCAGTCCCATTTGTCCCCTTAGTCTGTATCATCCTACATGTTGCAGATACACAATCATCACATTTTAAGTCCAGTTGTCTCTCCTCCCTATGTCTTAGAGAATCACTGCTCTAGATGTTGTTATGACTGGGATTCTGGGTGTTTTTTTCCCTTTTATTGTTATAGGATTTCTGATTTACTTCCCTTAAGTCTCACTCTCCTCGCTTGGCTCTTCTGAGACAGAAGTCTTAAAAAAGAAACCTGGTATTTGTATAACACCACTATTCGTATCTTAATACTTGTATTTACACTATTTCCACCATCCCTTTCATTTACAAAAACAGGGACCTGTGACTCAGCCAAGCTTAAAATTTAATTCATGAACAAACTTGTAAGTTGTCTTAGTTTGATTTCTACCGGTATGGTTAAGCATTATGACCAAAAGCCACTCAGGGATAAGTTTATTTCATCTTAAAATTCACAGTTCATCATAAAGGAAAGTCAGGACTGGAACTCAAGGCTGGAACCTAGATGCTGGCCATGGAAGAACACTACTTACATACAGACTTGCTCCTCATGGCTTGCTCGATTTGCTTCTCTCTACAACCAAGAACCACCTGCTCAGGGATAGCACTGTCCAAAGTGGGCTGGGCTCTCACGCACAATCATTAAGCCTGAAAATGCTCCCACACACTTGCTTACAGGGTAAACTGATGGAGGCACTGTCTCAATTGACCTCTTCCCGTTATCTCACCCTTTAAAGTCCGTTCTCGCCAATAGTCTCCAGACTTCTGCTTGAATGAATTAGCAAACTCATCAAGTTCTTTAGTGGCATAGCATACCTCTTCACAGACCACACTTTCATTCTCATCTCTGGGGTCCGCTTAACCTAGCCCTCAAGTGACAGGTCTACAGGCAATGACAGGTGGCTCCTGGGGGAAATCAGCACTGTTCTTTCTGACATCTCCTTTAGATAATGTCATCACCTGCTCTGCAAAAGAGGCAGGATCAGTTTCCTCAGACAGAGAGGGCAACAACGAAGGGGGTGGGATTAGGGTGGGGATGTAGCCTCTGCTAAGGGTTGGAAGGATTCCTCAGGCAGAGTGAGCCCAGCAGAATCTGAGGAGTCAACATCCTCCACCTCCTTAGGGTCCTCTCCCACACTCATCCCAAGTCACAGGGTCCCATCCTCTTCCAGTCAATGCCTCACTTTAACTGTCAATGCACTTTGAGTCTAGGAAAGAATTTTCACACTGTAAGTCAGCTAATCCTATAACAGGGCTGTGTTTGCTCTGAAACTCAAGCTCTGAGGCTACAAGATTCTACATCAGGGCACACTTAGGAACCTTGAGATTGTTTGGGTGCATCTGGATCTGCTCAATTTTATCACAGCTTCTTTTCTTTTTGTTTCTTTTCTAATTTTGTCCAAAGACGCTAAATGGAATCAGCCAGAAGCATCATTTTCCTTATTTTTCCACAAGCTAAAAGATTTTTTTTTTTGGTTTTTTCGAGACAGGGTTTCTCTGTGGTTTTGGAGCCTGTCCTGGAACTAGCTCTTGTAGACCAGGCTGGTCTCGAACTCACCGAGATCCGCCTGCCTCTGCCTAAGCTAAAAGATTTTTATACAGTCATTAAATTCTTTATAGCTCACAGGAGGTGGTGGATTGAGAGCATCAAACACACGTGTCTAAGTTCTTGGAACGGTTCACACCATGGACTATTAAGTGTTCTCCATGCTCCCGGAAGAATCTTTAATAAGCTTAATATTTCATCCAGTTGGAGAGCTACCTCCATTTACTACCCTGACCACTAAAGAAACTCATGCCCACATTTCCGTTCCTCCAGAACCACTCACTCCTGGTACCAGTTTGTTTTAGTCAGGGTTGTCTAGAGGGTCAGAACCAATGGTATGAGTGTGTGTGTGTGTGTGTGTGTGTGTGTGTGTGTGTGTGTGAACTTAAGTCAGCTTACATTAAAACAGCAAAATCAGCTGAATGACACCTGAGAGGCTGAGAACGCAGTAGTTTCTCTATCCTCAGGTGCCTCAGTAGCCCACAGTGATTCTCTCACTGGGGAAGCTGGCAATTCAGTTGATGCTCAGTTCCAAGGCTGGGTGCCTCAGCAGTCCCCATCTGGTGACAAACCCTGAAAGACTCCTGGAGAGCTGCTGGTCCTTAGTTCCTGGTGGGAAACTGGTTCTCCACGTTGTTGTTCCAGCAACAGGGTACCATGAAGAAAAGCCAAGACAACAAGACATGCTCTATCTCCCTTTTCTGCCATGACCTTAAAATCTAGACAGCTACAGAAGGTAGTACCCACATTCAGAGTGGGTCTTCCAAATCCCTTAAGGCAATCAGGACAATTTCCCTATTCCAGAGATTGTAACTTATGGCAAGTTGCCACTAAAATCAACCATAATATAAAAAAGCTCAAAATTCAGCACATCTTACTCAGAATCCAGCAATTTTTTTTTCAATGATAACAGAGGTTCTCAGACAGGATGCAATTTCCTCCCCAGGCAACCTTTGGTAATATCTAGCGAGATTTTTGATTGTCAGGAGTTTGGTTGCAATGAGTGGGTTGTTGCTTGCTTTCTAGTGGGTAGAGTCCAGGACACAGAGTCCAGGAACTTATCTAATAACAAAGACTTACGCATCCTGCCCAAAAGTTCAAGAACGGGTTGCTAAGAAACCCAGCGTGGCGAGATGCTTCTGCACGCCCCCCACCCCATTCTGATCTTATTTCCAAGGATTCACACTGAACTACTACAAAAATAAACAACTTGTAGAGAGCCGCGAACAGATTGACCTTTCTCTCACAGCCCTCTTCCATTCAAAACGAAACGGGATTTGTAGCTTTGAGATAAAGGGAGAGTGAGGACAGCAGGTAAGGGACACAGAATGCAGAAAGGAAAGTCAAAGTAACGTTTACGAACTAAGATAGGGGTTGCTGGAGATGACTCCCTGGTCAAGTGCGCCTGTTCCGAAAGTTTGAGGTCCTGGTTCGAATCCCAGCCACCTATGTAAAAAGTGGGATGCTGACAGACACAGATGTGACGCTCCTCCCTGACAGCAATTCACTCTGGGTGACCGGCAGAGCAACGGATTGGCACCAGCGCCCCTTTTCCAGCCCGCTGCCTTCCGGCTGAAACCTGGAAAGCCTCGGGGAGCGGGCGGGGCGGGGCTTGGAAGCACGCGTCCCCTTGGTGTGACGTCATAATCGGCCGCCTCAGAGCTGGCCCTTAGCAACCAACTTGGCAACGGTCTCTGTGGCTGCTGCGGGCCCCCGCAGGCTAGTCTTTCCAAATCTCTACTGCGGGGGCCAGGCCTGGTTAAGAACCCAGGGGACGCAGAGCGTCCCCCGCAAAGGCTGCAGGAGTACTAAGCATGGATGGCAGCCGGAGAGGTAAGAGGCTGCGCGAGTTCAGGCCGCCCCCTGGCCTTTCCGGTGGCCTGCCAGCTCCTTCTCCAGAGTCGCGGGGTGATGACTGGAGCTGGACAGGCCGGGTGTCCTGGGGGAGGCCCCGCTTGACCGTCTCATTGATCTGCTTTATGGCCTTGCCTTGCATCCATCCCTTGATCTCGGGGTCCTGCAACCTGTGTCACCTCGGTATCATCTAGACAGAAGACCAACCATGACCTTTAAAGTCCGACCTGAGCCCCAGATCAGGCCGGCCTCTTTCCCAGAAACGACCCCCCGTTTCCTCATCTCGAACGTAGGGGAAAAAAATCCCACGCCACGGAGTTCCTGGGGATTAAGTGCAGATAATATGTGGCAAGCTCCTGGCTCATTCTAAGTACTTAGAGGTGCATGAAGTCTCCCAGTCACTTCCCCAAGAACTGACTCACCCAGAGCTGGTTATATAGTTTGATCCTCCAAGGTGGTGAGCTGGGATACCTCATTTGTAATAATCTTACAGTGTGGCTGGTTGGTGGACTGAATGTTTACTAGCCCAAGACTACCCATAATCTCAGTGTACACCTATTTACCTTGACTTACTCTGAGACAAGTGGAGTATATGAAGTAGTTGGTGACCCCTATCCATAAATCATCACAAATCATCCCAATCAGAGTTGGAGCTCCACAGTCTAAGCAAGTATTCTTTCATAGGACTTAAGAATTGATCTGCTGATGGTATCTTGAATTAAGTCTCACTTTCAACTTTATTTTAAAATAATGGGTCAAACTAAGTCTAGTGTAGAAAGTCGGTTGACAGGATATTCAGACACCACACTAACCTAAGTTCTAGAAGAAGCAAACCAAAATGCTCTAATGGTCTTCAGAAATGGTTACAAAACAAACCAAACCTTTGCTATGTTCTACGCATAACCAAACACCTGTCTAATATTCGCACACAAATATTATTAAATAGGTGTTATTCATGTTTTGAAATAGAAGAAAAGATTGTAAATAATCTGTCACAGTAGGTGACAGAGCAAGCTTTGAACCCAGACCAAGAATGTAAAAACCCCTGAGTTAATTCTTTTACTTGCGCAGTATAGCTGGGGGCATTTGTACATTAATAGGCTTAGTAAGTTTGGGGTATTTATTTTTAAGTGGCAAATGTAAAAGGGTTTATACTTTATACCTTACCCAAGTGGCTTCACTCTTAGCCCATAATATATAGTAATATCATTGTTTCTAGCTTTGAACTTGTAAAATAAATGTTATATTCTTTTTATTTTTTTTATTAAATCCTTCTCATTTTAATTGTTTGGATAGGAATGTGGTATACATTTTTCCCCACTCCCCTCCACCTTCCACCCTTCCCCCTGCCTTCCACATTGCCACTTTACCCTGGAGCTCTTGTCTTCTTTCCTCTTCCTAGGTGCATCCATGTATGTCTCTCTTAGGGTCCTCTTTGTTACCTAGGTTCTTTGGGGTTGTGGCCTGTAGGCTGTTTGTCTTTTGTTTTATGTCTGTTATCTACTTATGACTGAATACATATATTTGTCTTTCGGGGTCTGGGTTGCCTCACTATAAATGTTATATTCAAACACCTGGGCTAGTTTTCATATACTATAAATAAGTAACTATAATTGTTCTTAATCACATATTATTTTTAAGTAACCATTAATTTAGCTGAAGCTTAAATGCTTAATTTTAATTAAAAGTAAATGTCTTAAATTTCGTTAGTTCCTTTAGGCATTTCAGAACATAAAATACTAAAGATACCTGAGGGAAAGTTTCTCAGTTGCTTTCAGTAATCACATTTTTTTGTAGGTTCAGCCTTCAGAGTGGTGATGTAGCAAAAAGCCACCAGCTTGAAAAACAATGGGTCTTGTTTCTCGTCTTTGATATCGGCTAATGAGATCTTCTTCTGCCAGTTACTTTACTTTCCCGAGCCTTAGTTGTTTGTAAAATGGGGACCTCGACTTGATATACTGTAAGACTTTGTTACCAACGTCTAATGGGAGGAAGGAAGGGAGAAAATTAAGAATATTGGTCCACCGTCCTTTGTATTATCAGTGACCTATGCTGGAAAAACAAGAGGAGACAGGTAACCTGTTAGGGCAGCTAGCTGAAAAGGGACTAGGAAAGAATTAATCTGTTGCTCCCATGGAGATACTTTTTTTTTTTAAATCAAGTTTGTGGTTATGTTTTCTTTTTTTAAAGATTTATTTATTTATTATATATACAACATTCTGCTTCCATGTATGCCCGCACACCAGAGGAGGGTGCCAGATCTCAGTACAGATGGTTGTGAACCACCATGTGGTTGCTAGGAATTGAACTCAGGACCTCTGGAAGAGCAGCCAGTGCTCTTAACCGCTGAGCCATCTCTCCAGCCCCCCATGGAGATACTTTTATAAATGACTTATTCCTAAATTTCCAGCAATTTGGGGAAAATACTGAAACATCTCTCCCCCACCCCCAGTGAGTTTTCTTCCACTTATTAGTAAAATCAAATTATATAGGAAGCCAAGCTGAACAATTTGACTGTCCTGAAAGACCATCAATCTCACGCACCAATTTTTAGTATTAGTTCAGAGAATGTTCTTTTTCTGGCCATTTGGTTTGAGACTACTTTTGGATCATTCTGGGTCCAATCAGGATATAGAAATTGTGTCTGGGGTGATTTAAATGAGGAGTATAAAGAATTGTTAAACAGTTATAAAAGTAGTTATAGAAATAAAAAAGTTATATATACTATTATATGTGTGTTTCATATATTGAAAGCAGTAGATATAGTTACTACAGTATTACCTGTATATTTGCACTGGGCAAAACAAAAGTCATGTAAACAGAAAAATACACCCCATTCAAGGGCGCAGCTCCTGAGAGAGGGCTCAGACGAAACGAGCCATCTGTTCCTCCCTTCAGCTCTGTGAGTTTTAACATGACATTTATCTGTTAGGAATGTTAGGAACCAATGAGTACACATCTTGATGTAAATACATGAGCAAGAAATGACCCTGGTTTGATCCTTTGCACCACCACACCAGAAAAATCTGCCTAGGGGATACAGGATTTGTGTTCTGCACACTACTTACATTAACACTAAAACTCTGTTTTGTTTTATTTTGTTTTAAAGATTTTTCTGTTTTGTTTTTCAGAGAGGGTTTCTCTGTGTAACAGCTCTGGCTGTCCTGGAACTTTCTTTGTAGACCAGGCTGGCCTTGAACCCACAGATCCACCTGCCTCTGCCTCCTGAGTGCTGAGATTAAAGGTGTGTGCCACCATTGCCCTGCTGTGGTGAACATACAATTACATTTTGGAGAAAGAAATTATTTTATGATGAGCTCTGTAATTTTCTAATTTCATGCAGTCTCAAAGACCAGACACTATTTTTACATTACTGGAATTCTCTTTAAATATAGCATTTAGTTGGGTACATTTGTGTGTATGTAATTCTGACTACCTGGAAGGCAGAAGCAGGATCAGGAATTCAAGACTAGCTTGGGTAGTATAGGAAGACCTAATCTCAAAGAAAAACTGATAAATATAACCCAAAATATGTATTACCTCAAAACAAAACACTTAATGGTTTAGTAGTGAACACAATAAAATCAGTATTTATCACATGACATAACTGATATCTTATCACTTGACCTAGTAAAACTGAAGGCTCAGAGTAAACTGTTCTTAAAATAACTTAGTTTTAAAACAGTTCAGCGGTAGAGCACTTGCTCAGCTTGCAGCCCCATACAGAAAATGCTCCACATGTGTGCATGTGTGTAGGTCTGAAGCTAAGGGCTGGTGTCTTTCCTCAGGGTTTCTCTACCCTTGTTTCCTAAGTAGGGTCTCCCTCTGGTTTAGTTTTATTTCTGTTGCTGTGATAAAATATGGGAGCCACAGCAGGAAGCTTGAAGCACTAGTCACAGCCAGTCAAGAGCAGAGAGGAACAAGGGCATGTGTGTTTACTGCTCAGCGCAGTTTCTTAGTTCACTGCCTGGCCCCTGAAATGGGACTGACTTCATTCAGCTCGGTCTTTTGACTGCAGTTAGCACAATTAAGGTAATTCCTTTGTGGCTGGAGAGATGGCCCAGCAGTTCAGAGCACTGTTCTTGCAGAGGACTCAAGAGTGATTCTCAGCATCTCCTTACAGGCTCGAAACCCCCTTGAACTCCAGCTTGGGATCTGATGCTTCTGGCTTCCAAAAACACTAGTGTTGCAAGTGTACACATACACACACACACTTCTTTAAAAGTAATATTCCTCACAGTCAGGGCCAGGCTAATGTGATCTAGGCATTTCTTCTTTGAGACGTTTCACGGGTAAATCTAGATTGTGTCAAGCTGACAGTTAAAACCATCAGTTAATGAACTTTTGAATTCATTGATTCATCTAGTGTGGTTGTCACTGCCAAGGAGCTGGCTATCTGTGCCCACCCCTGGCCACTCCAAGGCTGGAGTTACAAGCACGTGCTGCCATGCCTGGCTTTTTATATTTATATGGATTCCAAAGTCAAGTCTTTGGTACTTCTGTGATGGCCATAATCTCCCCAGCCCTGTTTTATTTTCCCAAAAATGGAAAGGTTGAATCTCTGGTCATAGGATTTTTGCTTTTGATATATTACTGCTGGTAGTAACATGGCTTGTGGTTTGGTTTTATTTTGTTTTGAGACATGGTCTTATTATATAGCCCTGGCTGGATCTGAACCCTGTGTAGACCCAGCTGTCCTGAAACTCACAGAGGTCTGCCTGCCTCTGCCTTCCAACTGCTGGGTTTAAAGGTGTGCACCACTATGCTTAGCCGAATAAAAGTTTTCACAACTTTGTTTAAAAATGAAATGTGTTATTTTTAAAATATTCTATATTGTTCTTTGTGAACGTTGTGTTTCACGTGTCCTAATTCATGGTTTTTATTGTTGTTGAAAGTCAGAGCAGCCTCTGTCCTCCCCAGATACAATCCACCATGCCTATTTACAGGACACTTGAGCACCAAGAGCAATGGTAAGTGAGCTACTTAAAACTGGCTGCATTGAAAGACTCACTGTTTTCTGTGCTGGGAAATCACATGACCTGATGAAACAGTTCTCCTAATGAACACTTGTACCTCACATTAGTAATTAGAATCAAATGGTGTAGGTATTCTTTAGACACATTTAGGGGGTCCTAATTTCAAACTCTTACTGTGCCCTGCTTGAATGTGGACATAGCTGCCTCCTGCTTCCCGCCCTGCTACAGCCAGGGGCTTCTTTTGCCAGCACCAGGTCTGGTTTAAGCCGTGCCTGCCTTGGAAATGATGGTTATCAAGAACAAAGACAATCCTAAAGAAAAGCTGTGTAGAGAAAACTTGGATAGAGTCTCAGCTGACATTTATGGGTTGCTGAGTCTCTATGGCCTGTGATGCATTTATGTTTTAAGGTTTTCAGAGTAAAATTGTAGTGTTAACTCTAAAATAATTTTTGTTATTATAACTTCTGAAAGCCTTTGGCATAGGTTTTAGGAAACCTATTGTCCTTATTTCCATGAAAAATCCTTCATACTGTCCCCTCTAAATATCAAGAAATGAAATTTTCAATTACTTCATTGTATTTCTTTGTACCACTGTGTATACATAGAAACAGGTATGAAAGCTGATTTGAAAAAAAAATAAAATAAAAAGCCTTTGAAGCAATGCCTGGTGGCACAAACTTGGAATACCAGTATCTGGAAGGCTGAGGCAGGGGAATACCAAGTTTATGGCTTGCCTGGGCTACAGAGTGAGGTCGGGGCCATTCTGGGAACTTAATGAGATCCTTTCTCAAAATAAAAAGTAAAAGGAGTGCTGGGAATATCGCTCAGGCTAGAGTGTTTGCATAGTGTGTGCAAGACCCTAGATTAATCTTCAGGAAAATACACGCACACTCTGAAACCAGACTTAAACCTAGACAGAAGAGCAGAGTGGAGAGTGCAGTGTGTTTGCTAACTCTAAGAAAGCACTTGCAGAGCCGGTCAGCACCGCACCCTTTGTGAGGAATGTGACACAGCTCTGTGCCTCAGTTTCCACTTCTATCAAATGGTGGTAATAATGGCTTCACAGGTTTTTCCTGCCAGAGGGAGTGGAACAGTGAAGGCAAGTGCCCCTCCAGGCATGTCTCCCACAGTAACATGCTTATGGTATGCAGGTTCCCTAAAAGAATTGATTGGAAATACTAAAGGATAGATCTAGGAGGGGAATCTAAGTTTCAGTGTAGGAAAGCCCCTTGTTTTCCAAGCCCTATTCTATTTCATGGTTGAATTTTTTCAAGCGTAAACTCATTTGACTTCTCAAAATCTTTTCAGGGGCTAGAGAGACAGCTCGCTGGACAAATAGCCAAAGCTCATGCTGTGCAAATTTGAGAGTTGGATCCCAAAAGTCCATATAAATGCATGGTGGGAGTGACAGCCCGCCTGCCTGGGGAGACGGAGATGGGATGCCCCGAGCAGCTGGCTAGTAGACGAGCCTTGTCGGCCAGTCTGGCTTCAAATGAAAGATCCTACTTCCATAAATGAGATGAGAGTGATCAAGGAAGATTCCCGGCACCAACACACACACACACACACACACACACACACACACACCCTTGCACCCACATCTGGAAATGCACACATATCATACACATACACCTGCAAAAAAGTGTTAATGTTTAAAAGTATGTCTGCACAGGACTTTATACTTGTGTTGGTGTTCGCTGCTTCTAAGAGTTCCTTTAAACAATCTGGGTGGAGGAGGAAAAGTTGAACAACATAGATTTTCTGTGCCCGTGTTTAAAGCAGTTTGTGGATCTTGTGTCTCTCAGAACAAAATTTTTGTAGATGGTGTTGGGATTTGGGGTTTGTTTGGTTTCCCAAGCTCAGTCATCTGTTCATAGGCAAGCAAGTGACTAAATAAAGACTTTTAGTTATAAAATAAAAACATATTAAATAGATAGTAACCAATTCTATCAATAGTAGATGAAAATTATCAATCTATTAATAGATTATAGTCTAGATTATTTTCATTGATTATATTCTAGAATTTCTTTTCCAAATTCTCAAGCCTGTAAAGCTTAATTCTTGAGGAGGTTTGAACCCAAGTGGTGAGTTGCTAATCAGTGTTAGCAGGGCGAGACGAGGGCTGGGTACTGCAGCCTGTACATGTGCTCTCAGCCTCCTCCCGTGAACTCCAGAACACGACTAAGGATGACTTCAGGAACTGTGGATTTTGTGATGTTGTATTAAAGTTTAAATATGTAATGATTAAATATGTTTTAATTTTTAGCTTTTTGCACTGACTCCTCTTCTCTCAGACTAACCACTCTCCAGCTGGTCAAGAATCACATGGCTGTTCACTATAATAAAATCCTTTCAGCCAAAGGTAAAAATGTGCAAATTTGAATTTTCTGTGCTAATTTAAACCCCAGCTTCACTTCTCATTATGACAGACCTGTGGCCAAAGTCAATACATTATCTCAAAGAGGATTTGTTTCTTAAAGTGAGATGCCGACTACTGAGAGTGTCGATGACACATTTTATGTTAGTATTTACAACCACATAATGCCTAGACAGCTCATTTAGTGTATTGTTTTAATATTATTTTGTTGTTAGATATTGATGAGTTTTCTATTTCTGTTTAAAATTTTATGAGTGTGTATTGGGGCATTTTTGGGTATGTGTGTGAACAAGCATGTATTCAGATACATATGTGTGTATATGTGCATATGCATATAGAAGCCAGAGGTCCACCTTAGGTGTCATTTGTTGAGAGCCGTCCACTCTATTTTAGAGAGCGTCTCTCACTGAGTTCTTGGATTTGTCATGACAAGGCTAGACTAGCTAGCCAGCAAGCCCCAGAGATCTTCCGTCTCCATCTCCCCAGGGCTGGGAGTACAACAGTGTGCTGCCATGCCTACTTTTTCTGTGGATGCTGGAGTCCTCGTGTCTGGAGGTCCTTGTGCTTTCATAACTAACACATTAGTGACTGTGCTGTCTTCCTAGGCCCTCTCTCTGTTTACATTTTAAAAAAGCATGGTCTCAATATAAATCCCAGGCTGGCCTTACCTCAGTGTTGTGCTTTGGGCTCCCATGATAGCATGTATCATGCTACCATGCCCAGCTAGATACTACATATGCTATGCCACCATGCCCAGCTAGATACTACATATGCTATGCTACCATGCCCAGCTAGATACTACATATGCTGTGCCACCATGCCCAGCTAGATACTACATATATCATGCTACCATGCCCAGCTAGATACTACATATATCATGCCACCATGCCCAGCTAGATACTACATATGCTATGCCACCATGCCCAGCTAGATACTACATATGCTATGCTACCATGCCCAGCTAGATACTACATATGCTATGCCACCATGCCCAGCTAGATACTACATATATCATGCTACCATGTCCAGCTAGATACTACATATATCATGCTACCATGCCCAGCTAGATACTACATATGCTATGCCACCATGCCTAGCTAGATACTACATATGCTATGCTACCATGCCCAGCTAGATACTACATATGCTATGCCACCATGCCCAGCTAGATACTACATATGCTATGCCACCATGCCCAGCTAGATACTACATATATCATGCTACCATGCCCAGCTATATACTACATATATCATGCTACCATGCCCAGCTAGATACTACATATGCTATGCCACCATGCCCAGCTAGATACTACATATATCATGCTACCATGCCCAGCTAGATACTACATATATCATGCTACCATGCCCAGCTAGATACTACATATATCATGCTACCATGCCCAGCTAGATACTACATATGCTATGCCACCATGCCCAGCTAGATACTACATATATCATGCTACCATGCCCAGCTAGATACTACATATATCATGCTACCATGCCCAGCTAGATACTACATATGTCATACCACCATGCCCAGCTAGATACTTGTCTTTAATATAATTTTCTAACCTGCTTTTCACTTGGGAAGTTATACAAAGATGATTCTGGCTGCTATTTTTCCTTCTGTCATTGATTTTATTAGGACATAACTTACGTAGACTAAAACACACTAGTTATAAGTATGCAGGGCAATCCTTTGAAAATTCTGTCTCTATAAGCACTACCATGTTCACTGTAAACTAGAGGCCATTTAACTGTGCATGTATGTCAGTCTTCCTGCCACTTGCTTTTGTTTAGTTCATGAGCAAAGACTGCTGTGCTTATTTCAAATTGATGCTTAAAAAAAATAAAAGAATGGTATTTGTAGCATTTGAAAATAGAATGATACTTGAATTTACTGTTGATAACACAGTCGTGTTCATTCTTTTTATACTGGCTATGGCAGCCTTTGTACTGAAATACAAAGTCAGTTAGTTGTGACCAGCTGTGTCACTTGGCAAAGCAGAAACATTTATTCTCTGCCCTACAATAACGGTGTGCTAATCCTGGTATGGGACTTTTCCACCATCTCAAAAAGATCCCCCTCCTATTTCTACAGTCAGTCACTTCCCCTCAGATCCCCGAAGCTAGTATCTACTCGCTTTTCCTATAGTCTTGCCTATTCTAGAATTTTATGTTAATGAATAATAAGTATTTATACTTTTGATCTGGCTTTTTTCAGTGTGCACAATGCTTTGAGGCATCTGTGTTATGTTTATCAATATTTCTTTCTTAGTTTTGGGATGGGGTTTGTGGTGTGTGTGTGTGTGTGTGTGTGTGTGTGTGTGTGTAGAGGCCAGAGGATGTCCTCAGATGTCCTTCCTTCTTTATGAGACAGTCTTTCCCTGGCTTGAAGCCCACCCCTTAAGGTAGGCTCGCTGGCCATAAGCCCTGAGGATCTGCCTGTTTCCCCAGCACCGAGGTTCTTAGTGTGCACCACCATGCCTGACTTTTGTACTTGTTTTAGGGTAGAAAACAGGTCCTATGCTTTATAACAAGTAGTTTACTGACTGAGCAATCTCTCTACCCCTTAATTGTATTTATTTTTCTTTATAAATTCTATTCTAACTGGCGTTCCAAGCCTTTAATCCCAACACTCAGCAGGGAGATCTCTGAGTTCTAGACTAGCCTGGTCTATGTAATGAGTTCTAGGACAATCAGGGCTATATAGAGAGACCCACCTCAAAATAACTAAAAAAAAAAATTTTAAGTATTCCATTTAATGAATCTGGTGTAATTGATTGATTCATTCATGACTTGGTGAATATTTGGGTTGTTTTGACTCAGTTTGAGCTTTAGGAAATGAAGTCACTGTAGAGTTCACATACAGTTGTGAACATAGGTTCGTTTCACATGGGTAAATTTATTTTGCTCAAATAGATCTGTATGTTTATGTGTACATTTAGCTTGTAAGCAAATCCCTTCCAGAGTGACTGCAGGTCTGTGTTGCCGTGATGCTGCGTGTTCACCAACACTCTCTGTTGCCAGTGTAGAGTAGCATCTCTTCTTTGTGAATATCTACAAGTTTACTACTATAAACTTCACTTTAATTTCACTAATTTTTTTTGCTGACTTAACCTAATGTTTATTTACTTTTTTGTGACATGGGATCTCAACTGTGTAGTTTTATGAGCTAGAGTTTAAAATCTTTAGGTTATGTTTTAAATAATTGAGGAAAATAGCATATCATAGCATTAAAATCATGTAAAGTTCAACTTTCAGATATTTTAAAATTTGTGTTGCTAGCAATGTGTTTAAGAAGTCATTCTCTAATCTTAGGGTTTCTAAATTTGTTTTCTCCTAGATGTGTTCGACTTTTAGCTCTTTCATTTAAGTTTGTGGTCCATTTTGAGTTTTCATATAGTATGACAAAAAGGGTATTGGTTTTTGCTTACTCGTATATAAAATTTCTGGTATCAATTACAGGAGAGATTATCTTTTCCCTGCTGAATTGTCTTGGCATCATTTAACCAGATGCATAAATAAGTCTTGAGATTTAACTTTCGATCTCCTTATCTACTTGTCTACCTTCCTGTCCACACCAGCCTGCTTTGTGTTCTCTAGCCTTGCCTTAAGTCTTGAAATAGGTAGTGTAATGCACCATTTTGTTCTTTTCCTTCCAGTTTGCTTTAAGATTCCATTCAAGTACGTTGATGTGTATGGTAAAGACATGGCTTTAGGCCATCCATATTCTGTACATTCTCTTTTCGATCTTATATATTTTTTTCTATGGTTTATCTTGTGATGTTTTCATATTCACCAGTATTTTCTTCTGCATTATCTAATGAGCTGTTAATCCCACATAGTATTTTTTAGCTGTTCTTATTTTTAATCTCCAGAAATTACAATAAAAAAGCAAAGAACTTCAAGTCTGCAGAGATTTTTGTGATTTATACATTTGATGTTTCTCATTATTTATAAATATCAAAAACATTATTAAATTTCTTTCTCTTTCAGCTGCGGTGGACTGCTCAATTCCATTAAGTGTGAATGCCAGCATCAAATGTAAGTAACTTTTGAACATAATACCACTTTAGAAAGATGATGATTTACTGTATTTCTAAGTGTTCACTTCAGTGACATTAAATACATGTGTGTTTAGGAGAGTCAACATTATCATCCACCCGCCCTCAGTCATGTGTGATTCCCCTGGGAACCACGTGTCTACATGTGGTGTGGGCATACAGAGTATATACCCAGAAGTGAAGTCCGTGGAACACCTAGTAATTCTTTTTGTGCATTGTTGGAAACTTGCATGGGGTTTTCTCTAACATCTGCATGATTTGACATTCTACCAGTCACATGCAAGGCCTTTAGTTTCTTCAGATATAACACTTGGGGTCTTGAGGTAGTTAGGTTGGTTGGTTTATTTTTGTTTGATTAGGGATTTTAAAATGCTAATGTTCACCAGGCAGTGGTTGCACACGCCTTTAATCCCAGAACTCAGGAGACAGAGGCAGGTGGATCTCTGTGAGTTCGAGGCCACGCTGGTCTACAAGAGCTAGTTCCAGGCCAGGTTCCAAAGCCTATCTCAAGAACCAACCCCCCCCCCCCAAATGCTCATGTTCTCCTTGTTTTCAAGAATAATTTATTTAAAAATCCAATAATAGAAGAAAAAAACAGTTGCAAAAAATATAGGAAACAGCAAAATGATAAGTCTCAACCTCTAGATATATTTTTAATATAAATAGATTAAACTTCCCACTCCAGAGGTATACAGTGGCTGGCTCAATCTTAAAAGAAATAGAAAAAGGTAATATGCTGTTTATAGGAGTCTTGGTTTAGATATAAGGACACACACTGAATGAAAAATAAGAAATGATAATACATAGGAATGATAGCAGAAAGAAATCAGCAATATACCATTATGCTGACCAAAATAGACTTTGAGTCAGAAACTCTCTCTAGAGAAAAAGATAGTCATTAAAGGGTACAATAGGAAGGTCTAGAAATATATGCCCAGTATTGGAGCTTCAGGAATATAAAAAGTGAATAGTGACAAAAACCTAAATCCTAAAATTGATAGCAATACAGTGATAATAGATTCCATACTCCACTTTCAGTAATGGCAAGAACATCCAAACATAATCAGTAAAGAAACAGCTGATGTAGATAACACAATTAATGAAATGAATGTGATAAACACACCAAGCTTTCCTCCCATTTGCTGCACATTTTCTCTAATAACACATGGAACATCCATGGGCTTTATCACATCGAGTCACAAATTAATTTTAACATATTTCAGAAAATAAAAATCATTCCAAGTATTTTTAACCATAATTTAATTAAAATAAAAATTAAAAATAATGTGAAAACAAATTTGGGAACTAAGTAACTTTGAGTCCTAGAGGAAATCAAATGTGGTGGTATACACCTGTCACCTGGGAGGCAACACAGGAGGGTTAGACGCTCAGGGCCAGCCTGGGCTTCATAGTAAGACAGTCTGCAAATGAAAACAAAAACAAAAGCACCAAACCTTAAAAAACAGCTTGACTCAAGTGAAAACAAAACACCACAGTCAATGCTAAGGTGCAAATGCTACCTGCAGAAGAAAGGGAATCTCAAAGAACTTGCGTGTAAATCGCAGGAACGTGAGACATAATTGAGGCTGTAGCGCGCTCACCATACAGCACTTGCTTCACATGCTTGAGACCTCATGTCAGCACAGCACAAAACAGGAAAAAGAAAACAAAGTAGAAAGGAAAAGCAGCCCCCAGTTAGTAGAGGGAAAAGAAATAATAAAGATTACAGAAGAGATACAGAAAAACAAGAACACTTTAAAAAGCAGAAATTGGTTCCCTGAAAACACAAAGCTGATAGACTCTTGGGCAAACTGAAGACTGAAAATCAGAAACGAAAGAAGAGCCGTTCCAATAGAGGCCTCAGAAATAAAAGGGATCCTAGACTATTGTGAGCAGTTACACACCAACAAACTGGATCACCTAGAATAAACGGATTCTGGATAAAATCCGAGAAATGCATAGCCTAGAAAAACTGAACCAAGAGTGGAAACCTGAATAGACCATAGGCAATTGAATCAGCAAGTTCAGTAGCACTTTTTAAAAAGAAACTTCTACCACGACCAAATGGTCATGCAAAGATGGTTGAACGTACCGTGAATCAGTGTGTTGGACCACATTAACAAAGGAAAAGGGAAGAACCACATGATGCAGAAGAAACATTTGGAAAATTCATTCATTCATATTTTTTAAAAACTCTCTTAGGGTTTTATTGCTGTGATAAACATGACCAAAAGCAGCTTGGGGTCTCCAAACTGAGGGAAGTCTAGGCAGGAACCTGGAGGTAGGAACTAAAACAGAGGCTGTAAATGAATGCCGCTGATAGCCTTTCCAGCTTGCTTTCTTATACAGCTCAAGATCGCCTACATAAGATTGACACCATATACAGTAAGTTGGGCCCTACTACATTTAAAGAAAATGTCCAATATGCTTATCCACACAGGTAAGGCACACAGATATGCACACCCCTATGTTCTGTAGCATTATTCCTCATAGCCAAGATCCAGAGACAATCTAAATGTCCCCTGGCAGATAAGTGAATAATGCATGTGTTAGATAACTTCAAAACAGATTGGAAAGAAAAACATCCTCTTGAGAAGTCAAATAGCATTAAAAATCATTCTTGTGTGTAGTTATTTCAGTGGTGGTTTGGTTTAGATAGACCTGTGTTCACTTATTAGCACTGATGCCATTAAATTATACTTGGGAATAAGGGAAGCTTGCTCTTATTTTCATGTAAGCTTCTTGACTAGTAAGATACATTGATGTCACTGTAAGAAGTAAACCTAGGACAGGAGTCACGTGGCTCAGAGGATGCTTGCTGCCCATCTTCAGCACCCATGAAAAAGCACACCGAAGTATGAAACTACCTCTCTGCTAGTGTTTGCTAATGAAGAGCAGTTCCAAGGAACTGAAGTCAGCTGCCAGACTACAGATGTTTCTAAAATGTTAGCATGTCTTTGTTGTTTTGCTTGTTCTTGAGGCATGTTGTTGCTCTCAAGCTGGTCTTGAACTCCTGGCTCAAGTGATTTTCCTTCCTTTACTGTCTGTTTCAAATTTCTATAACTTACATATTAGTTAGAATCTCTTTATACAGAAAATCACATAGATTGTTGATATGGGAAGTCCTTCTGTCTCTGTGTTGCTTTTACTGGTTAATGAATAAATCTGTTTTGGCCAGTGGCTTAGCAGAATAGGGCAAGACGCGAGTTCCAGGCAGATAGAGGAGGAGAGAGTAGGCGGAGTCAGGGAGAAGCCATGGAGCTGCTGCCAGAGACAGATGTGCTAAAACCTTGCTGGTAAACCATGAGCCTTGTGGTAAAGTATAAAATAATAGAAATGGGTTAATTAAGGTATGGGCTAACTAAAAAGATGCTTAAGCTATTGGCCAAACAGTATTGCAAATAATATAGTTTATGCATAATTATTTCATGGTCTGGGCAGCCAAGAACGAACAAGTGGCCTTCTGCCAACAGATTGGCATACCAGTGTGGGACTGACTAAATTCACATATAACCTGAGAAAATTTGGAAAGAATTCTAGACACATACGCACACACACAGTTTAGCCACAGTTTTTTTTTTTTTCCAGCTGGTAGCATGCTGCAGCTCCCTTAAAGGAGGTATTTCTGATTCAGCGGTAGCAGAAAAAACAAAAACAAACAAAAAAGAAAAAAAATGCTATTTGAAATAGCAGCTTCCTGGGCCGTGCTGCCTGCACAAACAGATGGGATTTGTGAGCACCATATTACAAACTGCTTAATGGTGAGACATAGACCTGCTGCATACTTGGAACTGGGGCAGTGTACACAGCTTGCAGAGGCAGTGAACATGCGTCCACCATGTATGACTGGGCGGAGCCAAAAGGCAAAGTAGCCTTGGTCCTAGTCATGCCACCTCTTAGCTTTTTAAGAAGTGCTTATCCAAAAATTATCAAATGGAAACAAGAAAGCATATTTAACAAATGGTGCTGGCATAACTGGATATCAACATGTAGAAGAATGAAAATAGATTCATATCTATCACCATGTAAAAAACTCAAGTCCAAATGGATCAAAGACCTCAACATGAAGCCAGCCACACCTAACCTCATAGAAGAGAAAGTGGGAAGTACACTTGAACACATTGGCACAGGGAACCACTTCCTAAATATAATTCCAGAGCACAGACACTGAGAGAAACAATTAATATATGGGACCTCCTGAAGCCGAAAAGCTTCTGTAAAGCAAAGGACACTGTCAACAAGAGAAAACGACAGCCTACAGAATGGGAAAAGATCTTCACCAACCCCACATCAGATAGAGTTCTGATCTCAAAAATATACAAAGAACTCAAGAAATTGGTAATCAAAAGAACAAATAATCCAATAAAAAAATGGAGTATAGACCTAAACAGAAAATTCTCAACAGAAGAATCTAAAATGACTGAAAGACACTTAAGGAAATGCTCAACATCCTTAGTCAGCAGAGAAATGCAAATCAAATCAACTCTGAGATTCCATCTTACACCTGTAAGAATGGCCAAGATCAAAAACACTGATGACAACTTATGCTGGAGAGGATGTGGGGTAAAGGGAACACTCCTGCATTGCTGGTGGGAGTACAAGCTGGTACAGCCCCTTTGGGTATCAGTGTGGCGATTTCTCAGAAAATTAGTAAACTGCCTACCTCAAGACCCTGAAATACTACTTTTGGGTATATATCCAAAGGATGCTCAACCATGCCACAAGGACATGTGCTCAACTATGTTCATAACAGCATTGTTTGTCATAGACAGAACCTGGAAACAACCTAACTGCCCCTCAATTGAAGAATGGATAAGGAATATGTGGTACATTTACACAGTGGAGTACTGCACAGCAGAAAAAAATAATGACATCTTGAAATTTGCAGGCAAATGGATGGATCTAGAAAACATCATTTTGAGTGAGGTAGCCCTGACTTAGAAAGACAATTATCATATATACTCACTCACAAGTGTTTCTTAAACATAAAGCAAAAAAAAAAAAAGCTAGCCAACAGTTCACAATCCCAGAGAACCTAGACCCTAAGAGAGACATACATGAATCTAATCTACATGGGAAGTAGAAAAAGACAAGATCTGAGTAAATTTGGAGCAGGTGGAACTTGAGAGAGGCAGGGAAGAGAGCAAGGAAAAATGTAGAGCTCAATAAAAATCAATAAAAAATAAATCAAAGAAGAAGCGCTTAGCATTTTAAGAAGCGCTCCTGTATGGAAAAGGATTACAAATACACTTTAGGACAGATTCAGACATAAAAGACCTCTAAACAAGACACAGTGTGTTTAAAAAATGTACGTATGCTTGGGAGAGAGAAGAAAAAAGAGGAAGGAGACAATAAATGTAATATAAAAGAGTACAGACAGTTATAGGTTAAAGGAGTAAAGATAATAAAATAAATATTAAACTTGTAGAAAAAATAATAGGGTAAGAAAATAAGCCACATAAAGATTGAATATACACAGAGAGTATGGATTTTGTAATTATTGTGTTTTCTTTGAATAGTTTGACTGTGAAGGAGCTAAGGACAGACATTTCATTGTATGGGCTGCTAAGCTAAACCAACCTATATATTTTAAAGGTATCATGACTTCAGAATTGGGTCTAAGGGTATGTTATTGTGGAAAAGAGGTTCTACTTTTGTTTTCACAGAGGATGAGAACCTGTGGAATTCTTCCAGACTAATGTAGTTTGATGAACCAAAACACCCTGAAAGGTCTTCATGAATACCCCAAAAATTACTTCGCCCAATAAACAGCAGGAAGTAGTTTGGAGAGAACTCAGGCCAAATTCTCCAATATTGTTTATAAATGTTTATTAACATGTAAAGGGGGATATGATATAGAGGTTAATACTTTGCATTGGTATGGATCTTGGCTTATTGATATAGATTTGGGTCAATTTTATTGTATGTATGTTCTGCTCTTGATTAAGGTATTGTGTTTGTGCAGCTCATTTGGAAATGTAAAAGAAATAAAGGTTAATAGATAGTCATCTATAATAGTCAAGCTTGTAGGTTTTCTAGATATATATACAGATATATTTCAGGTAGATAGATATTCTTCAAACCTTTCAAAGACTACAGAATATGTCATTTAAAATGTTTTAAGAACTTAGGATTTTTCATGATTGGTGCTCCTGGCAGCACCAATCTACTTCAAGAGGATGATGTACATCAAAGAGACTTCTTTTGGAGTTTGTTAGCCATTTGGGCAAGAAACTGCTCTTGCCTGGACTGCTTGATGAACTGGACATGCAGGACCCATAGAGAAATGACTGCTGAACTTGACTAAAGGTGAGACTGTCCTTCGGGTTCCTGCTTCATGAAAGAGACTGCTAGACATTCTGCAGGACACAGAAGAAAGTGACTGACAAACCACCAATCTAGGTGGAACTGTCTTTGAAATTTCTTGCTTCATAGAAAAGTCTGCTAGATACTATGGGCCTGTGGGCTGAAGATGGATGCTCCAACATTACAGAAGAACTTGGGTGACTGTCCAGGCAGCAGGATGTCTCTAACAATTCTAGAGTTTTGGAAGTAACTTACAGTGCACTTCCTGTTTACTTAGGTAATATTATATCCTTTTTGAGTCTTTGATAGAGGTGGAAAATAGTTATAGTTTTCCTTAGTTATGATAAAAAATAAAGTAGATATAAATATTGTAACTGTAATTCTTGCTTGATACCTGTTTTGTTATATGTTAAATTTTACTATGTTAAAGTTCAAACTTTCCTTTTTATTTAAACAGGAAAGGGGAAATGATATGGGAAGTCCTTCTATGTGTTGCTTTTATTGCTTAATGAATAAATCTGTTTCGGCCAGTGGCTTAGCAGACTAGGGCAAGGCAGGAGTTCCAGGCAGACAGAGGAGGAGGAGGAGCCAGGGAGAAGCCATGGAGCCACCAGAGGAGAAAGAACCTTGCTAGTAGGCCACAAGCCTTGTGGTAAAATATAAAATAATGGAAATGGGTTAATTCTAGATGTAAGAGCTAGCTAGCAATACACTTAAGAGATTGGACAAGCAGTGATTTAAATAATATAGTTTCTGTGTGATTATTTTGGGAGTCTGGGTGGCCGAGAAATGAACAAGCAGCCTCATACAACAGATTTTAGTCACTTATAGTAGTGTAAACATGTTTAGCAATAAAGATGTACCAGCTGTGTATGGTGCTGTTAGCCTCGTATCCCACGCTGGAGTGAGAATCTTCCAGGCGAAAACTTCTAGAACAGCCGGCCTATGTGATGAGAGGTGTCCAAAGAAAAAGGGCAGTGAAAGGGAGAAATCTTTGACTTTATTAATGTAACAAGACCAAAAAGTTAGTTTTCGTGTTTTGTTGCCAATTTCAAAGTTTTCCTTCCTTCCTTAGATGCAGATCAACAACGAAGAGAGAAACTGAAGAAAGAATTAGCACGAAGTGAAAAGGAGCTTAAATTAAGTAAACCCACAATGCAGATCAGTTCTAAGATGAATTCCAAGTTCCTTTTTAACTCTCCTCAGAAGGTAAGGTGATTCTTCTGCTCTCTAAGAGCAGATATTTCTAAGGCACGTTGGTGCTGCAGCCTGGCTGGGGACTGTTTTCGGTAGCTTTGGGTCAGCAGACTGTGAGCATCAAGCACCAAGTGACTCTACTGCATGCTTTTCAGGCCACATCTCCTCACTGCTGTCTGCCAGGGGAAGCAGCCACGAACAATTTTGGAAATAAATTCCTAGCTGTATTCCACACAAGCTCCACCAACTAGAAAGGATGATGTCTCAGACTTGGCCTGCAGGCTGTAGTTGGCTGACCTGGACTATGGTTTTATTTTTTTGACTCTTCTCTAACATTTATTTGAAGAAGTGGACTTTTGTTCTTAGTTTGATGAGAGGTGTTTGCAGTTTTCAGAGTCTCTCCCTTGAATAGATCATTTTTTAATTAAAAACATTTTTGATAGAATGTTTTGATCTCCATGGGCAATTTTATCCAGTGTTCTTTTTGCATTTCTTGGCAATGATGATGTGATTTTCTGTTTGATCTGTTAATGTGGTGAATGACTTGTGTCCTTAATATAAACACATCTGACCTGTGATACATTAGAGTTTCCTTCCTTCCTCCTTCCTTTTTTTTTTTTTTTGTTCTGTTTGTTTGTTATTTGTTTTTTGTTCATCTTGTTTTGAGACTGGGTCTCTGTGTGCAGCCCTTGTCCTGGAACTTGTTCTGTAGACCAGTCTAGCCTCAAACTTAGAGATCCACCTGCCTCTGCTTCCTGAGTGCTGTGATTAAAACATTAAGGTGTTCTATATTGCTGGATTCCGAGGTAAATGTTTGTTTAGGATTTTGACATCTGAACGCTGTTGTTACTGGTGTACATTTTTCTCTCTGTCTGGTTATACTGGCTTCAGTGAACAAACAGAGCACAGTTTCCTCTTTTTCTATATTCTAGTTTATAGAAGTTGGAAGTTATTATTTTTTATTTAAAAGTTTTTCATACATTTTGATCATATTCTTTTCCCCTCCCCTACCCACCCAATTTCATGGTTTTTTTCCCCTCTGTCTCTCAAAAACAAAAAAGAACAAGATGAAATCAAAGCAAACAAACAGAAAAGACAAAAGGTGCACAAAAACGAGTTCATTTTGTATTGACTAACTACTAGGCCTGGCCTGCCCTGGAGTGCGGTTGGTCCACCCAGTGCCACTCCTGAAAACAGATTTTCCTTTTCCTAGCAGCTGTCAATTTCAAATACCTTCTTAGTTAAAGGTGGGATTCTCCCCTTCTCCGCGCTGGGATTTTGTCTGATTTGAACCTGTGCAGGTCTTGTGTGCTGTCACAGTCTCTGTGAGTTCATATGTATACTAACCCTGTTGTGTCTGAGAATGCTGTGTCTTTGGAATCATCCACTATCTACAGATAGTACCGTCTTTCCACCTCCTTTCCCCATAGTTCCTGAGCCTTGAGGGGCGGTTTCTGATAAATACAGTCCATTTATGATCGGGTGCTCTCACTTCCTGCACATTGTCTCTCCAGGTTAATTACTGTCTCTTGCAAGACAAGCTTCTCTGCTGAGGGATGGGTAATAGATACACTGATCTGCAAATTTCATAATTTCATTTTTCTGAACAGCTGTTTTTATTTCCATGGAATTCAACACTAAAATGATCACTTTTTCAAACTTTAGTACTGTAGTGAGCCCACATGTCTTTATCAACCAGTATGGTGTTATCCGTTCATTCCGGTGGTTGGTCTTTCATCTCTAGCCCCAGCCATTGCCTCCGGCTCCCAGTATTTTGCTATGATTGTTAGATTCTATACTTTTTACCCATAACTTTAAACCAGTCATGATATAGCCAGGCATAGTAGTGCATGCCTCTAATTCCAGGTAGTGGCACACTAGGGGATGGATAAGATAGGCTTAGGCCACACTAGGCCACATAGTGAGAACATTTTCTCAAAAAAATAACACTGTTACTATGCTTAAAAATTAATAATTGTTTAATATCACCAAATACCATGCTATGATTTCATACACTGTCTTATTTTTGAGTTTATTGGAATTGAATTGGTATCTAGTTAACTTGAACTGATATTTTTTAATCCATAGTTTTCTTTCTCCCATGCCTTTTATCACTGTGTAATTTATATATGGGGGAAATCTGAGTTAGTAATAAAGTTTGGCTTAAATTTTGCAGAGTTCTAAATGATGTAAAATTTCTGCTGCAAACTTGTGTGGGGAACAAGGTTTCTGAAGGCCTGCAGTCTCTACTGAGTGCCAGGGTTCAAGACGGGCAAGTTATACACTTGCAGAGTAGCCATTGAGAGTAGCCCATGCTCTCGAGGATGCGTTCCAGCCCTGCCATCCATGGTATGGTTCAAAAAATAAAAGGAAAGGAAGATGGGAGGGAGACAAAGAGACGAGACGAGAGGGAAGGCAGGCAAGCCTACTTGGCAGGACAGCTTCCCCGTTGCTTACCAAGCACCAGATACTGTCTTTTAACTCCTGGTCTTTTCAGTACAAACGCAGACACGGTTTACCAGCAGTCAGTAAGGAGGACTCGGGTATTGGAGCCTTTCGGGAAGCTCTGGACTGTTTTCCTGATTGAGAACTATGGAGGAACTGAAAGCAGTTTTTAGTTAGACAGTGACATCACTGTCTTTAGAAGACTACACTGGCTGCAATGACCAGCAGACCAGCTACAGGATGGCTGCAGTAATCTGAGAGAAAGATTAGGAGCTCTCCCCGGGCATTATAAAGAACATCAGAAATACGGGTACAGGCAGCTTATTATTTAGAAAGGAGAATTGCTAGGTCTTGGTATCTGACTTGATGATATGAAGAGAAAGGCAGAAGTGATAATAATAAGATAAGGAGCAGGTTTTCTTCTGGGGTAACATTGATAAGAGGCATGAGTTTACTTCTTTGGCATGTTCAATTCGCAGTGATTAGGAACATTGAATATATTCAGGAGACAATTGAATAGAAGCGTCTCTTTCAGGAGAAAGACCTGGGAGTTGTGAGGTGGGGGCGGCAGATAGGGTTGAGAGTGAGAGTCTCCTACGCTGTTGTAGAGACCACAGGCCAGGAGATCTGCTCTGCGAACCTCCTGTTAGTCTCTCCGTCCGTGATGCACTCTCAGGTAGATTGCTTTTTTTTCAATATTTATTTCACTGTATATGTATGTGTGAGTGCCTGCATATATGTTATACTTCCTGCCACATGCATGCCATGTGCCCTCACAGGCCAAAAGAAGACATCAGATTCCCTAGAACTTGAGTTACAGATTGTTTTGAACTGCCATGTGGGCCCTAAGAGTCAAGCACAGGGCCCCTGCAAGAATAACAAGTGTTCTTAATCTCTGGGCCATCTGTTCAGCCCCTATATTTTTATGATTATTATAATTGTTTAGTAATTCTTTAATAATCTCTAACATTTTATATACAAAGTAATAATTTTGAGATGAGTTTGTTGAAAATTTTTAATTATATATTTTAATATACTTTATGAATAAAGTAAAATAAAACAAACATTTTAATATTTCTATTCATTTTCCCTTTAGTATCTGTAATTCTATATCTTGCTTGCCTCCATGACAGTTCATTTATGCTTTTATTCCCTTTTTTATAATTCCATTTAGAAGTAATAGTAATCTTTAGTTTGCCTACATTTTTAATAATCTTTAATAATTAATACTTTAAATACAGCCAAGTTATCTTAAATTATGAGTTTGTGTAGTATATTTTAATAATTGGGTTGATTTTATGGTTAACAATATTTATAATAATTATAAAATATTTTCACTGAAAAGATAGTTATAGTTAATGATGCTGACTTTGCCTCTTAGTATCGTAGCAGTTTCTGCAGACACATGAGCTCATATTCAGAACCCTAGATCCTCGCTGCCTGGGCTTTCCCACTCATTTCCTTCTCTCACCCTGGATCATGTGATGCCAATTTTCAGGACCCTTCCAAGTGCGTCCCTTCTAGCTGCTGCAGTTTAGATCTTAGAACACCACTTCTTCTGCCCCATTCCTGAAAAGGACTCTCTGTGCTTGGAATTGGGTAGATGTTCTTGACATGAACTTTGCATAAATCCAAACCACACAAACAGTTTATAGCAAATCACCTCACACTTAGTGGCATCAGAGCAGGTGGACAGAACACCACCACACTGCTTGTTCTAGAACTTTCCAATGGACTGTTTTTCTAGTTGGGGTGGTTTACCAAAGTGTTACCCATATTCAGTGCAAATATCTATTCAGTCTTTGCAATATTTAGAACTAAAGGAAACAACTATATAATCTTGTTAAAGCAGATCAGTAGTACAGTTAATTTCATACTACAGTCTGTTGATTTCCAAGGGGAGAGCAGAATACAAGGTAGTGCTTGAGATAGGAAAATAGACTTAAGTTTTATGCTTTCGATTAACTCAAAAGCAATTTGCCAGCACATATCAGAAAAGAGTATTTCTTTTTCCTTATTTTTTTTCCAGTGTTGGACATTAAACATAGGACCTTGTGTATGCTAGGCAAATTTCTTTTTTGTCTGTTTGTTTACATTTACTAATTATGTGCGTGTGTGTGTGTGTGTGTCTGCATGTCTGAATGTGTACATGTGAGAAAGAGAGAGAGAAAAAACTGGTGGGAATTGGTTCCTTCCTTCCACCATGTGAGATCCAGGGATCACACTCAGGTTTTAGGCTTGGCAGCAATCACCTTTATCTACTTAGCCATCTCATTGACCCCCAGCTCTGTACTTCTGTCCTTAAAGGTTCTTTTTGGTTCGTTTTAGTGAACATCACACTGATAAGGCTTATCAGGCAATCTAATGCTTTATGCATTTCTCCCTACTCTAAGCTTAGCTTATACCATCCTATGGATATAAATAATTCTTATGGTTATTAATTAATAGCCCTGTAAGATTCAGAAATATCTTTTCAAAGAGCTGAGCCTTTTGTACGTCAGCTGTAATATGAACCCAGTTTGGGGGCGTTTTTTTAAAGCTAGTGTACTTTTGAGTAGTAACCTAAGGACTCACAATTTAATACAGAATACTCACTTTATTTTGTGTTTTATTTTGGTAAAGAAAGGTTGGGAAGCTAATTGTGTGTCTGGATGTGTTTCCTTATTTAGATATATCTGTTTGTAAGTTAGCTGACCCGTACATTATCAAGAAAAGAATTCAAATCAATTTAAGATTCCTTGTACTATAAACAAGATTTAAATTAGTTTTTCAGGTGCACTTTTAAAACATAGTGTATGGCATAGCAAAGAGCAGAGGCACTGAGTCAGCTTGAGTATATGATTCTGACCCTCCTTTTCTTCTAGAAAGTAAGGGCAGGGCAGGAATGTAGTTCAGTGGTAGGACACTTGCTTAGCAGCTCAAGGCCCTGAGTCCAGGCCCATCATGGGTTGGGGGGAGATAATGGTCGTACTTTCTCACAGAGTTGGAGGCAGGGTGCATGTATAAGTTAATCCGAGACTCCCCAGTTCCATGAATTCGGTATAAATGCTTACTGTCAAATCAATGTTCTTAGCCCTCAGGGGAACCACAATGTCAGGGTGTGTTAATAGAAGAAGTGACAAGGTACCCATCATTGTCGAAGTCATTGGTCCCTTCTTCAGATGAACTGCGTCTACGTCATCCTGAACTGAATAAATTCCTCATGAATGGCACCCAGAGGCATCCCAGCACCTCCCCCCTCAGCCTGGCTTACACAGGATCTGCACCCAGGAGCCCGTGCTGCAGCCACTGCTACGACAGGCCTAGGAGTGCCTTCCCAAGTGCGCACCGCTTCCAGCTGCTCGTCTCCAAGTCCTCCAGTGGAGATCTTTTGGAAAAGCACTCCGACTTCTTCTCTAACAAGCAGCTGCCATTCACCCCACGTACTTTAAAAACAGAAGCGAAGTCCTTCCTGTCACAGTACCGCTACTACACACCTGCCAGAAGAAGGAAGGGTTTTCCAGTTGGGCGGGCGGAAGCTGAAACCCAGACTGAACTAAGCAGGTTTGTATGGCATGCCCACAGCTGAGAGCAAGGCCAGCGAGTCAGGGGAAGTGAGCAATAAGCAGAAGTTGTTGCTTTGTTGTACACTTTATCTGCAACCTTGAGATCCAGCAGTGCCGTTCATGGGAATGAATGGTACAGCTGTCCAGGGCATCTTAGGAAGCAGTGCAGTAATGGCAGAAAAAGTAGCTGTTAGATTTGTTAGGCTCCTATGAATGAGTGCTGCCTAAGTTGTTGTAAGCACAGCTCTCGAACTTCTGTGTGTTTCTAAATGTTGTTTCAGAGAAGTCTTAAGACACATTATCAGAGAGCACTGATGTAAATAAATATTCGTGCTAACGGTGGCAAACCAGTGAGGCCCAGGAGGGAAAATAAACATTTATCCGGTTCCCTGTGTTTCTCCTGGCACATGTCCACACGCTGGGCAGTAATAGCTGCAGGCATGACTTAGACAGTTGAGGGGACATCTGGAAATTAGAATTTGCCTTGATTTTGATTTCTGTAGTGGATGGTTCATGATACTCAGTATCTTTGCCAAGTGATTATAATTTATTCCATACTAGACTTTAGTTATTCAAACATTGCAAGACTAGTTTTATGAGTGGAGAAGAGGGGCAATGATGGCGAATGGATTTAATTTACGAAAGGAATTGGACTTGTAACAGAAATCATCAACCAGAGGAGAGATGAAGAAGTCATTGAATCTGAATTGAAATGAGACGGAGGCGGCATGGCTTCTGTGCAAGGGTGGCACACAAACGGGTGCATGCCATGTCTTCATGAGTACAGGAAGGGTCATCTAGGGAGGAGGGGGTAGGGCAGGGTGGGTGGGAGAGTAAAGAGAATGAGCTGTGGATTTGTCTGAAACTGTTGAGAACAAGTTTATTCAGTAAAGAAGGAAAGAAATGAAGAGATTGTTTTATATCTTTTTAAATGTTAAAAGGATAGTCTCATTTCTCTTAGCCCATTGTATATTTAACTGAAATCTATTTTTCAAGCAAGAAAAAGGAAGTACATGTGAATCAAATCATATCTATTTCCAGATCTATATTTAAAAATTACACATTTTTTAAGAGTAAATAGGTAAATTTCTTTGAGTTATACCATACCTTTTTTTTTCCTTTTTTTTTTTTAGTTTTTTTTTTTTTCTGTCTTCAGACCACAAAAGGAGGAATAGTTTATTGTATACACTGCAGGGGAAACAGTATAGTCAGTCAGCTGTTGGAGTCACCATTATGAAAAAGGGCCTGATTGTGGTAGGGGGAGTGAATTTGTAATTGCCCAGCATGCTTTATTTTAATTAATGTCATGTGAATGAATACAAAGCAGATTGTGTGGGTGTCCAGATTGGGAAGGTTATCTTGAGCCTAGGTAGGGTTTCTTTGTAGCTTTGGAGCCTGTCCTGGAACTCGCTCTTGTAGACCAAGCTGGCTTCAAACTCACAAAGATCTGCCTGCCTCTGCCTCCTGAGTTCTGGGATTAAAGGTGGGCACCACCACCGTCCAAATCTATACCTTTTTCTTAATAGTAAAGCTTGTCAACTGTGTATATAAAGGAGTAACAATCATTTCTTTGTAAATGTTACAGCTTTAATTCTGAGTTTGGGACAGCCGAGACAAAGAACTCAGAGGACTCAGAAGTGAACATAAAGCAGGTAGTAACCATGAGTCTTTGTGTTGGTGCCTTCTGAGTTTCAGATGATTTGACTTATGTAGATGTAGACAGCTGTTTGGACGATCAAGAGGGAAATAGAATGTAGTCAGCATGTGCAGGTTTGCCTGTTTGCAGTTGTCGCGTGTGCTCTCTGCATGGTCAGATGGATCCTACCGATTCTAGGGAGTCATTTGTTATTAGCGCCTACGTGGTTCACTGGCTGCCTAAACAGGTGGGTGAGTACAAATATTAATAACATTTTCAAAAGTACAGATTCTGAGGGCCAGGTATGGTGGCATTTGACTATAATTCCAACACTTGGTAAAGGCAGGAGGATAAGAATAGGAGGCCGTCTTGGACTATACAGCCGATTCAAGTGTGGCCTAAGCTGTCTAGCAAGACTGTGTCTCAAAACAACGAAGGACTGAACTATAGCTTGACATTAGAGAAATTACTTAGCATTTGCAAGGCTGTGTTCAGGACCACAGCACCCACCCCACAGCGGCACACACAGAAAAGTAGACAAGGTACTAAAGGTGCTGCCAAGGCTACCTATGTAGCAGTTTGCATTGGCAATGCCTATATTTCAAATCATACAGCATAAGGGAATCCGTAGATACCATTCTCTTACATTTGACTTTACTTTTATGAACTTTATTACATTGTTTGTATCTTAAATGTTTAGCAGTGATTTAATATATCTTAGCTTTAAATATGATTTCTCAGGCAGTCATTTAATTTGAGTCATTTCAACCATGGATTATATCCTAACTTAAATGCATTAATTCTAAATATGGTTTGCATGTTTAAATGTCAAACACAGACTCAGGGATACAAAATTAAAATAATCACGTTCAACTTCTTTTTTCTTTCTGAAAATGGGTAGGAACTTATGTTTTTACATCTCAGCCATTGATAGTGTTTTGACAGGGGGACCGCTTAGAGTTCATGTAGAAAACAGCCTCTGAAAGCTAAGTGTCTTCCTAAAAGACTAACTACTGGGTCCTTGGGAGAAGGCACAGCAGTCATAGTTCTAGCCTGGGAAGGGCTTGATAAACGATGCCTCTTTTCACCTTGAATTTTAGTGAAAAGAGTTAGGCCTGTAGATAACTAAGTAAGCTAATGCAGGGCAGGTGAGATTGCTCCCCAGGTAAAAGTGCTTAGCACAGAAGAGTGACGCCCCTAGTTCCCTGGAGTCCACTGCGGAAAGAGAAAACTGACTCCCAAACGTTGTCTTCTGACCTCTACGTGTGTACCATGGTGTGCTCAAGCCTGTACTCACACAAACATCATACATCATTCTCATCTTCATAACATTACTTATGGTGACGAGTGAAATTGGAAGAATCCCAGTTGATTACATTGCATTCCGAATGTTCATTCATAACCCTTCAAGAAAAATGGATGCTCACAGCAGTCTTGGACTTGAGAAAGCTAGTGAAATAGTAACTGCAGTAGATCTATAGTTTAACCACACTTTTAAAACTGTAAAGCCTTTTGCATGAATCAGCTTTGTAGGACTGGGAATATAACTTACTCGATAGAGTACTTGCCTAGCATAAACAAAGCGTGAATTGGTGTAGCAGTGCCTCCTTTTTTTTAAAGTATTTATTTATTTTATATGCATTGGTGTTTTGCCTGCATGTATGTCTGAGGGTGTCAGATCTTGGAGTTACAGACAGTTGTGAGCTGCCATGTGGGTACTGGGAATTGAACCTGGGTCCGTTAGAAGAGCAGCCTGTGCAGTATTCTTAACCGCTGAGCCACCTCTCCAGCCCCAACAGTAGTACCTCTTGTTCATTTCTTTCTTCATTTCTATTTTTGTTGTTGTTTGTTTGGGTTCTGTTTGTTTTGTTTTAAGACAAGGTATGTCTAAGTAGCCCTGGATATCCAGGAGCTCACTATGTAGACCAGGCTGGTCCACATTTGCATCTGTGTGGTCACCTACATCTTTGTGTACCATGTGCATGGCTGGGGTGCCCAAGGAGGTCAGGAGAGGGTGCTGGATCTGCTGGACTGGAGTTAAGGAAGTTACAAGTAGCCATGTAGGTACTGGGAACCAAACCTTGGTCCTCTTAACCGTGGAGCCATCTCATTAGCCCCAGCAGTACATGATTGCAATTCCAGTACTTAGATGTTAGAGGCAGGATGATCAGAAGTTCAAAGTCATCATCAGGCACAAAGGAATTTCAAGGCCAGCCTGAGCTACAGGAGACCTGTTTGAAAACAAAACATAACTTTGTAAAGATTAATGCAAGTAAAATATTATTTGTGACACGTCAGAAGAAATCTGTTCAAGTAATGTGCCACCGTTTTGTTTGTTAATATTGCCCATATGCCACTGCTACTGCAGCTGCTTTCCTGTGTGACATAGCGGGTGTTTGAAACAGATGTGCTTTTGAATTTTTAATAATGTAGTCAATGAATTTTTCCCCTAAATTTACTTAAAAGCTGCAAATTTGTATACTTTCATGGGTTTCTGGTCTTACTTTTGTTAGTTTTTGTTTTTTAATGCGGGTATGTACACATTGTGTGTAGGGGTGATGTCTCCCATCCAGTTACTAACCAGACCAGCTCTGCTTCACTTCCAGGATCAGACAAGACGGGGGCACTTTCAGGGTGGTGTGGCTAACCAGGCATGGTGGCACACACCTTTAACCCCAGCACTTGGAAGGCAGAAACAGGTGATCTCTGTGAGTCTGAGGACAGTCTGGCCTATATTAGCAAGTTCCAGGATAGTCAGAGCTGAATAGTGAGACTTTGTCTCAAATAAAATAAAATAAAAATGTAAAAGGTGTATGGCTGTGGACTGCTCATGGTGATGAGCCTCTCTCCCAGGTCCCCAGGTGACCTGTGAACTGTGACCTCATGCTTCATCCTTTCAGTACTGGGGTCACAGGTGCAGACTCCTCCACAGTCCTATTTATGATTTCCTAATGCCATTTAAAATGCTTCTTATTAACATGGGTAAAATGCTGATTTGATGGGCTATTTTTTTTTTATTAAAAATTTCCGCCTCCTCCCCTCCTTCCTTTTCCTTCCCCCTCCCCCATCCTCCACTCCCCTCCCCCTCTGTCTCCAGTCCTAAGAGCAGTCAGGGTTCTGTGCCCTGTGGGAAATCCAAGGTCCTCCCCCCTCCATCCAGGTCTAGGAAGGTGAGCATCCAAACAGGCTAGACTCCCACAGATAGGCTATTCTTTTTTTGTTAGTTTGTTTTAATATATCAGGTACTTTTTGTATTTGTTTTTATTAATATTTTCTATTTTCTTTCAGAACATAGTTTTGAAACAAAATTAAATTTCTTCTTTTTGTACCACTTCCAGGCACTTAATTCCAAGGCAAATGGTGCTGAGGACAAAAACCGTCCTTTACCTTCACAAGGACAAAACTTAGGATGGGACAGGATTAAAGATGGCACTCTGCAGCGTTCCTCCCACAAGTGAGTGGCACCTAGGTCTCAGAGTGAAACCCTGCTTCCATTTGCTTTCCTGTGTAATCGACGCACAGCATTTCCCCTAAGTGCTGTTTCAATTCCATGTGCTAATGTATTTTAGTATTACACAGTTCTGTGGCACTGTTAGTAAAGGTGAGAGTCAGTTGTGCTAATGTGTTAATAAGGGGAAGGGATGCTAGTGTGCAGTAGTTGCTGTCTCTCCTCACATTAGAGAAGATTGTCCTCTGGCAATGGTGTTAGCCAGTTTCTATGACACAACAGTGCTGAAGAACTGACCTCACCATTAGATGAGCTGTGCGACTTGGAGGCCACAGGCTGCTCCCAAGTGAAAGTGCTCGCCATGCAAGCCTGATAAACAGTTTGCTCCTCAGCACCCATGAGAGGAGGAGAGAAGTAACTCCTGAAAGTTGTACACATACTCACACACACACACACACAATAATTGTATTAATAAAAGTTTCAAAAGTCTTGGGGGCTGGAGAGATGGCTCAGAGGTTAAGAGCACTGATTGTTCTTCCAGAGGTCCTGAGTTCCCAGCAACTACATGGTGGCTCACAACCATCTGTAATGAAATCTGACCTCCTGGCATACATGCAGACAGAACACTGTAAACAAAATAAATAAATAAAAATCTTAAAAAAAAATTCAAGAGCTAAAAATTTGTGATGTGTAACATTCCCACATGCCAGTGTTTGTCTGCTCTGCTGTTGGGAGATGCTCTTTAACACTGTGTCCCATGCCTAGTGACTGTTACATCACACCTAGCAAAAATGTGGACCAGCAAGCTTTGGCTGTTAATTGCATTTCCAGTGTAGGAGACTGGATATGAGATGAGGGAAGAAGAGTATTCACAAGGGGAGAATGAGGACATGTTTTGGAGCAGACAGGAAGAAAAGGCGCATCTTCTCCCTTAGCCCTTTACCAGGGACATCTTGATTTCTAAGACTATAGTAGGTTGAGTACCAACTCCGTCCTTGAAACTCATTGAACAAACAGCACATGTTAGCATATGTGCACACACACATGCAAGCACACTCCCACAGAACTAAATCACAGATAGGAAAATACTTAGAAATTTCAAAGCATATAGCTACTAATGTAGACAGAATATCAATCATGGAATCTTTGTATGCCTACCCTTATGGCTGCTGTTAGAACATTTTCCCTCTCTCTTTTTCTAGGACGCTCTGTGAGCTCTCTACACAGCTTTCTTCAGACAGCAAAATCTACCCTGAGTAAGATCACTCTGACCTCTTTCTACTTAAGTGGGAAGCAGAATTAAGATCAGGAAAGCCTGATAAGATAAATTAAGATGGGAACTCGTCTTTCTACACCCAGCTCTGCAGTATCAGTCATTTAATCCATGCTGATGGACAGATTGTCGGGCATCTTATCTCTAGTGAAAATGTGTCCCTAAGTTAATATTATCTACTAATAATTTCTAATAATTGCTTATTTTTATAAATTAAACTAGTAAAGAACCCTACAGGAAAGGATTTGGAGCTCAGGGGCCTCTTGGGAGGTTTGTGGCTGCTCCGCTTCTTTGCAGCCTGTCGTCTTTGCTTTCAGTGGTTACGGTACATTCTTAAGTTATAATTTTCAGGAAAATAGTCTGCTTTATAGTTTCATTTATTTGTTCTTAAGCAAGTTCCTATGGATTGGTTTTTAACACGCTGGTTTACACAACCACCCGTCCCCAGTTAGTCTCCAATTGAGTAAGTACTTACCATTTCCATTCATTCCCGAGTTTGAGCTAACTAGAATCAATAACGGTAGTATCCTGACTTTCTTGTAATAGGTACTAGAAGTTAGACATGAAGTAGTATATCGTAAGAAATGTGTCCAATTAAAAAATTACTACTACAATTTTTCATCCATATATTTGCCTATTAGAAATTCTTTTTTCTAAGGATTTTGAAGGAAAAAAAAAAGCAATCTTTCTAGTCAGTAAATTTCCCATCCCAGCTTGAACACAAGATGCTGAGCAGGGCTCAATAAGCATCACGCCCCTGCTTCCCTGGGTGGGCCCTCTTTGTCTTTTTGCTGTTATGAATGTTCCACAAAGATGAAATTTTACTCCATTGGGTGATAATTTTCTTACTTCTATGTTTTCCTTTTTGAACATGAGAAAGCAGGTTTGTTTATAGTATTCCTGTACTTGTGGGCAGCAGTCCCTGTAGTGGTGATGTGGGTGCTCCTGCGTGACCTCCCCTCCGTGTGATGGTTCTGATGCGCTTGTGTTCCTCTGCAGTGAAGAGGAGCTGCTCTACCTGGACTTCATGGAAAATGTGACAGATGAAATTTTGAAACTTGGTTTATTTTCCAACAGGTTAGAGATTTTTTTTAATGTGTGTGGGAGTTGAGATGTACATTGAATATTTTTCATACAGTAAGATTTTTTTAAGTTATTAGGATATAAAAAGTTATGTTGCTTCTTATAATTATATTTTTATAATTGATTGTAAATTATAAAGACTTTTATCTATACACTACAAAAAACAATAGATTTTTTTCATTTAAGTATTATTATATCTTAGTTATATCAAACTGTATAATGAATTGAATTTTTGCTACTATTTTGGAAAACCTCCATAATTCCACCTTGCTATCACGAACTCTTATGGGAATCAAAAACAAGCTTTCAAATTTTATTACATTTATGTGTGTGTGTCTCTGTGTGTGGTCACATGCCACAGCAGGCCGTCAAAGTGTGTGTGTGTGTATTCACACGCCACAGCATGCTGTGAGGGTCAAAAGACAACCTATGGGAGTCAGTTCTCTCTCCACCGTGTGGGTCCTGGAGATTGAACTTGGATTATCAGGCTTGCTGTCGATTACCTCCACCTGGTGAGCCCTCTTATCCACCCACAACATCTTTACTACAACATGTAAGATCTAATAAAGACAAAAGAAAAGCTCTTTGTGTACGTATAGGAAATGGAGAGTTTGCAAAACCAGATTAGCCGCTGCGTTGCTTTTGGAAGCTGTGTGCTGGGTGCAGCTCAAACACTGCTCTGTCTACAGCCACTGAGCATTAGATTCCACTTCATGTAGCAGAGCGTAGGACTGCACAGCACTCTACACAAACTGCAGACATCGCAGTGGCCATTTCTAGCCCTTTATCAGGGTTTACTTTTTAATGAAGGAAGACACGTTGTTATTGGAATAAAAAGACCAGCGGTGTGTGCCAGTACTCTCATACCTCTTTTCATTTGAAAAAAACATGTTTAATGGGGCTGGAAGATGGCTCCGTGTTTAAAAGCATTTGCTATACAACCATGAGAACCCACGTTCAAATCTCAGCACCCACATATTGAACCAAGTGGGTCTCATGCAGGGCTATAACTCCAGGGCTGTTGGGTGTTGGAGCGTGGGCAGACTGGAGGATTACTTGGGTTTTCTGCTCAGAAGAACCCCTGCCACAGAGGAATAGGCAGAGAATGTTAGACACTGATGCTACCCTTGACCTTGAGGACACACAGGCATGCACGCTCACACATTCACATACAAACTGTTAATTTTGAGAGTTGCATAGGAGTTTTGTAGAACAGATATGTCGAGCATTACTGGACTACACATTTTAGATGGCTAAAATGGTAACTTTTATGGTTTTTTTTTTTATCACAAAACCAAAAAGTTTTACATAGCATTTACATTTTTCCTTAAACGTTTATATTTTCCTCTGGTTCATAAGACTAAACATAGAACCATCCTGAGAAAGAAACTAGAAGGTGCAGGAATAGGTATTCTCAGCCTGAAGGATGCTCGAAGTGCATCTGTTGACCAGAGAGAGCATGTGTATGCGCGCGCATGCGTATACCTGAATATGTATTACTTAATCCCACCTACAGAAGCACAGAAAAAAGCCACGGTGCACATATTCCAGAATGTGACCAGTAACTGTAAAGAGTAGGATACAAGTTTCTTGGTCTTTTAAAAATGACAGAATAATCCAGACCTCCTATTCTACGGGTCGGCTCATCTCACTCAATAGTATGAACCATGGTAACTTGAGTGACCAAGGAAATTAGTTGTTGTTTTCAGGAAACCTGTGGATAGGTTAGTGTGATTCTGGGCCTGGTGTAGAAAGAATACATTCCCTGAGGCTAGTCACATCTGAGTTAAATTCGCTGAAGGGCTTGTGACTGACTTTAGGGAAAGGAATCTCATCCTAGAGATGTAACACAGTTTCTGCGGCTTTCATACCCCGGCTTTGGCAGGGAAATAGGTAACATTGTTTCTGTGAGCCAGGCCTGGTGGCACAGGCCTGTAGTCCCAGCAAGGAGGCAGACCTCTGAGTTCCAGGTCAGCCCGATCTGCTTAGAGTTCCAGGCCAGCTAGAGCCTCATAGCAGACCGTGTCAGGGGTGGGCAAAGGCAGATTGTATGTCTAGCATAAATACCTGGCATTCACTTAGAGGTCATTGACCTATCATCAATGGAGTGTATACTTAAGGAGCCACGGTGAACCAGCTCTGTGAGAGCATTTTCTCAAGGTTGTAGGGAAGGAGCACAGGGAGCTTTTGGTGTCTGTCTTACAGAGAGAGAGCTCTGCAGGGAGGGGAGTATTGTGTCTCACCTAAAACACTCACAGAAATAGAAACAGTACTCAGGTCTTCAGATACACTGGTATCTATTATATAACTTAGATGTGTAACCCAAGGCAGGCTTCCTGACAGTTTAGAGAAGTAGACAACAGGAAAGATTGGTCTCCAGTTGCACAGAGAAAATGATTCATCTGGAAACCACTTTCCAGCCTTTGTCAGCTTTTATATTATGTTCCTATTTTACATTGAATGGGTTATCTGATTTTAAGATGTTAATATTTTTCTTGATCATTTGTAGGTTTTTAGAACGACTGTTTGAACGACATATAAAACAGAATAAACATCATTTGGAGGAGGTTTGTCTTTCTTTAGAATTTTATGTTTTTGTAAAACATTGCATAGACCATAAAAGAGCTCATTTAAAATAGGTACTTTCCCCTGGGTGCTTTTTGTGAGGGGAAGGGGCGCAGGGGCTGTGGAAGTGTTAATCCTCTGAGACTATCAGCACTGCACACAAACATGGTTTAGTTTATTAGCTTAGCTAGTATAGTGATCCTCATAATTGCATATTCCTTTCCATAATCCTAGGGGAAAATGCGCTACCTGCTACATGGCCTGAAGGTTGACTTAGGCTGCATATCTGAGGAAGAGCCAGCAAAGCAGAGCGATTTCAGAATGTTGAATCAACTTGATTTTCAAAAGGCTCTGATTTCAAAACCAAATGAAGGTACAAGTTATGATGATACAGTAATTGAGCAAGAGCGTCAGCAGTTCCAGGAGGCTCTGCACATGCTGTCGTCTATGCCGCAGGATGAAAACAAGCTGTTCTCTTTACCAGGTGAATTCCTAATACCTGACCGTAAATTCAAGGATTCCGAAAATGTTATAGTTCAACAGGTCAACGATGAGACAGCTCTTAAGGTCTCAGCCTTGGATGAAAACTATCCAAGTATTTCTGACAGGTTACTAGACCAGGAAGCCTCTGTGGATGTTATTGAAGGTGACAGTGACTCTGAAAGTGTTGAGACTTCCAGGGAATTATGTTGTCTTAGCACAGTACTGGCCCCATCTGTTCAGTTCCCCAGCATCAAAGACGGCAGTAATCATGACAAGCAATTACCGACTCTAAAAATCATGGAAATGGGCATTGAAGACTAACCTTTGGATCTTCACTAATAAATGTTCCATGTGGCCAGTAACTCAATATTACTTTTCTTGTTTTCCTTTTTTACATATTAAGATTTCTGTATTTTCAATGCTGTATAATAAATTACCATAAATTTAGCATCTTGAAGCACCACATACTTATTATTAATACTATTGTCTGTGGTTCGAGAACTGAAACACAGGAGTGATGTGTGCCCTACTTCAGGGCTCAAAAGCTACAATCTAGGGCTGTGATCTCATTGGGAGACTTGGCCGAGGGACTCTGCTTCCATGCTCAATTGGCAGAATTCTTTTCCTTGCACCATAGATCTGAGGCTTCATTTGGTTTTGGCTGGTTGGTGGGCAGATGACTGCTCGCCATCCCTGCCACGTGCACGCTCCTTAAGCAGGCCACATCCTGGCTGTTTGTGAAGGTGGAGGAGACTGCTAGCAAGATGGGTCATTTGCCAGCACTTCTTTTTTTAGCTCTTGATTAGAAGCAAACAAGACCTGGGTCCCTTGCATACTTAAGGGGTAAGGGGATGGCATACAAGGGTGCAGATGCCGGAGGGTGGGAACCACTGGGTTACCTGGGGCTCTTTGACCACCACTTCTAAAGTTGCATTTTAGAGGAACGTGTTTGACCCAACATAGTGGCCTCATCATCATTGGGAAATGGTTTATAATCTGGGATGGTCTTAAAGCATTGCATCTTATAATGTACGGAGGCTGGAGGATTGAGAGTATCTGCCCTTTGGCATGCCAGGCCATTTTTATGCTTTAACTCTGAATCCAGTTTTTTTGTCTTTGGAGCCTTTACCCATTCTAATGTTTATACCTTTTAGGACATTTTAATATTCTTTAGTTTCTCTTTAAATTTTGTTTTAAAAGATGAGTTAATATAACAAGGGGTGGTCTACACTTAGCTGTGGATGTAAGGATGAGCATGGAGAATGCATTAAAGATACCGGTGTGGGAGTTTGAATGTAAGTTTTTAGGGGGTGACACTATTAGGAGGTTTGCCTTTATTGGAGTAGGTACGGCCTTGTTTTAGGAGCTAAGTATCTGTAGGGGTGGGCTCAAGATACCCAGTGTTCCAGACCACTTCCTGTTGCCTGCAAGATGTAGAACTCTCTGTTACTTCTCCAGCACCATGTCTGCCCTCATGCTGCCATGTCCCACCATGATAATGGACTGAACCTGTGAACTGTCAGTGAGCCACCCCAATTAAATTTTTTTTTCTAAGAGTTGCCATGGTCATGGTGTCTCTTCACAGCAATAGAAACCCTCACTAAGACAACTGGCTTAAGGAAGTGGCAGTAGTAGGTCTTCCTCTAGGTTCTATGGCCATGGGTAGTTGGCTAGATTTACATTACCAGGCACGACTTACCTCCTGTTGAGTGGGCCTTAAGTTCAATTACACAGCTTGGTTACCTCCAAGATATAAGTGCTGAACCACAGGTTCCTTTGCACTGCCTCCCCCAACCCACCCCACTTCATGTCAACTTCCCATATCCATGAGGTATTGCTATTAATATGAGATTTGGGGAATAATCACTAAAGGCTGTAGTTGAATAGTAATGTGTTTGTGTGTCCCGTTGACAAGAGATCAGTTGCTCTGGCCAGTTTTGTCAGCTTGACACAAACTAGTCATTTGGGAAGAAAGACCCTCAAGAGAAAATGCCACTACAAGATTGTGGGCAAGCCTGTGGGGCTAATGATTGACATTAATGCGACTGTCCCACTGCGGGCCGTGCCACAATTGGGCAAAGTAGCCCCGAGTTGTATAAGAAGCAGGCTGACCAAGCCAGGAGGAACAAGCTAGTAAGCATGCCTCCATGGCCTCTGCTTCACTGAATTCTGGTTCCTTCCCTGACTTCCCTCAGTGATGGAGTTGTAAACTGAAACGCCGCCCCCCCCCACACACACACATGCATGCACGCACACACAAATTCTAAGTACCACTACTGTACCTTTGGAAATCTCTTGCTGCTCTAGTCATTGTGGTTCATAGGTGTCACATCCAGATAGGACTGTTGATTGCTCTTCTTCCTTGGCAACTTTGCATGGCACCGTCTGGTACTCTGAAAGCTAGTTCAGGGAGAAGCTTCTAGCTCAACCACAGTTTAGTTCCTCCAAGTCCTGAATCTAAAGCTTGTGGTGTCATCAGCAATGGGGACTTATATTCAAACTCTGGGAGAGGAGCAAGGGCAAGGGCAATGGCAATAGCCTATTTTGTTTGGGGGATGACCTGAACTCCCCTAACCAACTCAAGGGATGCTTCCGAAAATTACATAATAACTATTTTAAGCGTGGTGGTTTGAATGAAAATGGCCCCATGGACCAATATTTAAATACTTGGTCCCCAGTTGATGACTGTTTTGGAATGATTAGAAGGTGGCCTTGTTGAAGGTAAAGTGTCATTGGGGGCAAGTCAGCTTGAGGGTTTCAATAAGCTCAGTGCCATTCTGTGTGCCTCTCTTTCTCTGCCTACTTGTAGATCAAGATGTGAGCCCTCAGTTGTCCTTGCTACCATGCCTTTTCTCCATCATCACTGGCTGTTTCTGTTACTTTTTGTTACCGTGCTGAAATACTGTGACCAAGCAACTGTTTTGGGAAAGGATGAGGATGTATGGCCTTGTTGGAGGGACAGGCTTTGAGATTTTGAAAAGAGTGCTATTCCCCCATTCTCTCTCTCCACTTGGTGTTTATGATGAAGATATGAGTTCTCAGCCACTGCTCCAGGACCAATGCCTACCTGCTGCTGCTGTGCTCCCTGTATGATAGTTTAGCCCTTTGAAACCATAAGCCCAATTAAATGTTTTTCCTTAGAAGTCATCTTGGTCATGGTGTTTTGTCATGGTAATAGAAAAGTAACTGTAGTGCAATTTCTAATTGGTCTTAATAATAAAAACCCAGAGGCACACATTGGGTGGGGGGAAGCTGAAAGATCAGAGAAGCAGAACAGCCAGCCACCAGTTCTCATCTCTATATGAAATCCTCAGAACCAAGGGGGCAAGAGCCTGTCTCGAATCCTCAGACTGAATGCAGTGAGCTCCTATCTCCTCCCACCTTATATTCCTCTCTCCTCTCAGCCATAATCCTTCTTATCTCCACCTCCCTAGTGCTGTGATTAAAGGTGTGAGCCACCACCCTCTGACTCTTTCTCTTTTAGACTGGATCAATCTTGTGTAGACCAGAGTGGCCTTGAACTCAGATCTGTCTGCCTCTTCTCCCTCCCAAGTGCTGGCTGGGCTTAAAGGTGTTTGACACCATTGCCTGGCCTCTATGACTGACTAGTGACTAGCTTGGCACTCTAATCTTCAGGCAAGCTTTATTTGTTAGATATCACAATATCACATGTAACAAATATAGTAAGAAATATTTGTGTTGTTCAATGTCCATTAATTTTAAGTGATCACTAATCTTAGACAACACTAACATGTGACGTGTGGACTTTACTAAAAGGTGGGCTGTGGTAGTTTGAATAGGAATGGCCCCATAGACTCACATGTTTGAATGCTTGGTCATAGGAGTGACACTATTAGAAGATGTGGCCTTGTTGGAGGAGGTGTGTCACTGTGGGGGCAGGCGTTGAGGCCTCATAATCTCAAGCTGCACCCAGTGTGGCACCCAGTGTCTTTCTGCTGCCTGCAGATCAAAATGTAGAACCCTCCCTTCCTTCTCCAACACCATGTCTGCCTGCATCCCACAATGCTTCTTGCCATGGCAATGATGGCTTTAATCTCTGAAACTGTAAGCCAGCCTCAATTAAATGTTTTTCTTTCTAAGAGTTGCCATGCTGGGCAGTGGTGGTGCACGCCTTTAACCCCAGCATTCAGGAGGCAGCGGCAGGAGGATCTCTTTGAGGTTTGTTTAGAGTACAAATTTAAAGTACATATGCATACTCAAATGGATACTGTTCATGTCTGACCACTGAAATAACGTACGTAGTCTACTTGCAGTTTAAAAACTAAGGCTGGTATGACAGCTCAATGGGTAAAGGGATAGAAAACAAAACAGGCCCTGCTTCAATAAGGTGGAAGGAGAAAACTCCCTCCTGAAAGCCAGCCTCTGATCTCCATACACCGTGGTGCACACAAACACAGCACACACATGCATGAGCAGACACATTTTTAATATGATTTAAGATAGGGATCTGTTTTAATCAGCAGTATACTGAAAACTGTTCACTAACTCCAGATTATTAAAAGTACTTTATTTTGTAAGCACACATCACCCATCTAAATGGTTTTGGAATCTGTTCGGAAGACTTGATTTCACTACACACACAGTGACTTCCAGATGGCCTCTAGACGGCGCTGTTGACTTGGTAATGCTGCAGGCTGGTGCTACATACCTTTCTTCCCTTCTCAACCCAGGGACCACACCAAGGAGGGAATGGTAGGTACGTCCAGTGGAAAAGGTAGACGGAATGCTTGGCCAAATCACCCCTCACCCCACCTCACAGCCACTTTCTCAGGCAGCATTCACGCTTGCTTCATGATCAGTTCCGTTAAACATTCCTATGAAACTCAAGCCAATCTGTCTTCCATTCTGAGTCCCCACTGCCTGGCAGAGCAGGGAGAACTCATTCTCTGATCTCACCACCAGGGGGCAGCAGGGACAACAGTCATTCTGTAAATTTGCTGAGGATACAAGGTGGTGATTTGGTTGTTACTTCCTACCTTTCACAACCCAGCCCCAACCAGGCCCTCACCTCACCCCAGTCCACCCCTCCCCTTGGCTCTGGGGACAAACGAAAAGAATTGGCACATCCACTTAATGCCATCATTTGCAAAAGTAAATGTGACTACCTCATCCACATGCAATAAGCTTTTAGAATGTGTTTATTGAAGAGCAGACAAATACACAGATGGTGGATGCCACTTATGCGACCAGAGAACCCTCGAATGTTCCCTGAAATCCGCTATCCAACCCATACTTGCAGACTTTGGACTTTACCCTCCTTCTTCTACACATAATTATAGGTACTAGGACCAGAGCCCTTATCTGCAGGAATTTAAAAAGTTCCTTTAAGAGAGTTCCCTCAGCTGTCACTCAAAAAGGACCCATCTGAAGTTTTTTAATGAGTTTCAAGTAAAAGATCATTTTAGTTTGTTTCATGTGCT